GTTTCGAGGCGAACGAAGGGCGAAAGCCTCCCTTGTGGAAAGCGAGCGCCGCGAGGACTCGTTTCGGTGATCCGGTGATTGACAGATCGGAGCCCCGCACACTGCGACCGGTGCCATGCTAAAATGGCGACGAAAGATGGTTTATTTTTAATGGCGGATGTTGCCCTGGACCTGGCACAGAGTTTTTTTCTTTGTTGTTTCTCCACCCTTTTTTTTGTGCTCGAGAGACCAGCGGGCTCGGTCAAACTCGATGACTCTCGTTTCCGGTTTCGGTGGATCACCGTAGAAGTGAACAGTTGAAACCTCGTTTTTAAAGGTTCTATGGAAATTGCTTCGTTGGTGAATTGGAAGGTTGCTGATTCAACTTTTTTGTGATTTTATAGACATTGAGAATTTTGATAAGGAGGACGGGGTGAAGATTATTTGAGGCAGTATAATGAAACTCGGATGATCGACTTCCGAGACATGGAAAATTGAAGATTGCGTCAGTTTTTACTTCGATGTGGAATGTTTCAGATATTAACCCTTTGCACTCGGGAGGTGACTCTCTCACCACTTGATTTGACGCAGTAAAACTATAAAATATATTTAATGTTGAACTTTATATAACGCCTCAATACGTGAAATATTTGTTCCTTAATCTACTTGTGTTTCCCTCGAGTTAATTTAGAAAAATATCGTCTTCGCCTTGTCAAGGAATGTTAAATATTAGTGAGAAATTTCCGAGTGCAAGTTAAGAAATTACAAACGATAAATTTATCCTTAGAATTCGACACGTTATCGATACAATCTCATTCAATCTCATAAAGCGTGTTTCACTGCAACTGCACATCGCAGAAAATACAATCGCATGGTAAGAACAACAAGAAAACAGTGCACATAAACCCAGAATAAAATCCAACGACAGAAAACACAGCACGAGCGTATTGAAGAGGTGTTCGGTCGGTGTACACGAGTTTCTTCGTGCCACTCGATAGCCTATATATTAGGCATCTTCGCGGACGAGGGGTGGCGATGTCAATATATATGCAAACGCCGACATAACGATCTATCGGTACGTAAATATATAAGGGGGTGGGTGTGCGAGCGAGCGAGCGAGCGAGCGCGAGCGCGGGAGGGCTCGGAGGAAGGCGTCGACAAAAAACCGGGGGTGATAGCTGGCGGCGAGGAGGAGCGGCGAGGAGCGGGAGGAAACTGGAAGCTTAATATAAAACTTCATTTCGCAATCGGTGGCAGCCGGAGAGGAAAAGGAGAGAACTGACAGACAGAAATTCCAGTTTCGTCGCGGGAAAACGGTACGCGCCGGCGGAATCCCATTTTTCTAGTATTAAGCTTAACCGAGATAAGATAAGACGCCGCGTCGAGTCCTCGCTGATTTCGAGCACGCCGACCTGAAATTTTTGAGTGCGAACGTCGAGCGTTACTCGGAGAATGGCAATGGACGTCTTGTGAATGTTCCGGGAATTGTTAGGGGTGTATTATACACTTTTTAGTGATGTGTTTATTTTTGTGGTTATTGAATTTTGGGGAATTTCTGGGATTAGAGAATTTTTGAATGTTTGAGAATTAACGGAACGGGTTTTTGCACTCGAAAGTTTTTCACTGGAAACATTTCACATTTTTCGACTTCGACTTCGAGTTACAAGCGAGAAACAGAACTGAAAAACATCAGTTCCGAACACCCGAGGGATGCTATAGTTTCATATCTCAAAAATAAATTTCAAACATTCCATTCGCACAATAGTAACATTGAAACCCACACAACTATCCAAACATTCTATATTTCCAACGAACCGAAACAAACAAAATACGCAATCGAAATTCCTCGAGGATCCCCGCAACGCCACCCAGTCGCCCACTATTCAATCATAAATAACGAACATTAAGGACACAGACAAACTGGCGAGAAATTTGACGGAAAGTTCGAGTGGTGGTTGAAATCTGGATCGGAAGAGGAGAAAGCTCGACGTCCCCGGAGACGCGGGAAACGCGTCGATCCGGACGCGACACCTCCGCCGCCTCCCTCGGCGACCGACCGCCCCCGATATATTCTTCCTTGGAAGTTTTCGTTCGTATATTTCGAGCATCCTTCCTATATTCTTTCACGGTGCGCCGGGAAGAAGGGGGAGCCGGCGGCGTGCGCGCGCGATGAAACTTTTAATAAATGGCGGAGTCGATATGAAGTATAGGACTTTGACATATCGTGTGTCTGTAATGTATAGTTAAATCTGGCGGCAGATGTGGCGGCGGCCTCTCCTCCCTTCGACCGATCTCTCGCTCTCTTGCCTCTGCTTTCCGCTCCGAGCCATCCGCGCCGCCGTTCGCGTTTGCGAGCCGGTCGCCGCCCTTCCAACCTACACACCGAAATTTTCGCTCGAGCCCTGCGCCTCGCGATTCAATCTCGTCGGATGGATCATCGGTTCAGGTTACTTGGAACACTTTTTCCGATGGGTCAGTATAGACGTTTGAAAATGTTTGATCAGTTGTTAGGTGGAAGATTGAAATGATATTGATCTTCCGATCGTTTGTCTTTTATTATGGATTATGATTGTTGATTAGATGTTGAGTAGGGTAGTTTTGAGACGTGTGGAGTATGGGGCGAAGGGAAATTTGTTAATTGGTTTCATGCTTTAATTTGTGAAGTTTTGTTTGAAGGATGAACGATGATTTGAGACGGTAACGTAATAGAATAATATTGCAACGAATAGATGCAAGGTTCTATGTAGCAAAAAGTTTCATATTTCTCCGTCGTCAGTTCTGCACAAAGAATTGAACCTTTCTTGTTCAGTGACAACTCGGAACCTTTCAATCACACGGCGAGGAACGAGGAAAAGGAGAAAGGTTCATTTCCATTTTCGGGGCGTATCGCAGAAGGAGGGTAGCGCAGTGCGAACCTATTTTTTGCTCGGTTTCGTTAAACGGCCGGCGAACTTTTCAATCAAACCGGCTGTCTAAATGAGAGCTTCTCCACAAAGCGGATCAGGGTAATCTGTCATCAAAACTGCCCCATGGCAAGTCGTCGTAGCACCAGCCGGCGCCCCCAGCGGCCGAAACCGTTGCGACGACGTCACATCGATGCATTCGATGCACATCCCGCCGCACTGAATTGCCTATCGAACTTACTGCATCGTTCCGTCATTCTCTCGGCAAATTTCCAACCACTCCCACGACCTCTGCCGCTCCAAACAATACTTCAACCACGTTCTACGTAAATACACCTACATACTCATCATTCTTCACAACCCACCCTCCAATGAAGCTTCGAACAAAAACCCACGATAGAAACAAATTTCTACATCCAGAACAAATCCACACAAGCTTCAACTTCAACCTCCAAGGCACCTACCAAACAACCATAAACTACATTCATCAAACCAGCACAAGAACCAACCCCTAAGATCCCCAACAAGCCCACCACAGGATTCAATCACCCAATCCTCAAATTTCTACATTCAGAACAAACCCACACAAACTTCAACTTCAACCTCCAAGGCACCTACC